AACTCGGTGATGAGTGGGTTCAGAGGAAAGCAGAGCCCTCCTTCGACGATCGACAGCACGGTGAAAGGGCATTGTTCTGTTCTACCCCAAGGTGTGGTCTCTTCTTCTGCGAGCTCCAGGTGGACATCAGCCGGGACGCCGTACTCCTCCCTGAAAGCAGCCAACGCGGCCGGAGTATCCACTAGGAAGCGAAATTTCCCCATTTGTGGCCAGCTTGGTACAGCCCGGCTGAGGGGTTTGGCACTGTGGTAATTGGTTGCTGCTCGGTCCTGAGAGCCTCAGGAATGACAGTGGTCCCCTTGGACTCTGCAGGAAAAGGATGGCAAGTGTAAGTGTGAGCGCGGTCGCGCAAAAGGAGCTGGACTTTAGCTCGGTCATTAAGAGTGCAAAACCACCTCGGTTGTCTATTCTAACTAAGGAGCCCGGTCGCCCAAGCCGACCAGATGTTAGCCCGGTTGAGCGACCAAGCCCTTTTATTATCTCGGTTTTTGCTGGGGTTGAGACGAACTTGTTATTTGCTCGATTAGACTGGTTTTTTGGATCAAAAGAGGACCAGGAGCCCGGTTCGTCCCAGTTCTTCAGTGTTCTTCATGAAGATGAAGAACACCAAGAACAGTGGGAGGTTTGGGACGGATTCTATGGCCTATGCCCTAAGAGCTACGTTTTTGTGCCCTAATGTGTGTAATATGAAAGAGAATAGCAACAAAATAGGGGTAGAAGAACTCACCAGTGAAGGGCAAGATCTATTCCCTCGAACACGAAGAATGCCAGACGAGCCAAGGCAAGGATGCAAGAGCTCTGAGGTCGTATAACAGAATGGCAGTAGGAGGCGATGGAGTTTGGGAGGCCCTGTATGTATAGACGAGAGAGGCCGCCCAAATTCAAAATTCTGGCAAAAACGGCGGGTTGGCTGCTCGATGACCAATGGCAGCCCGCCACGTGTCCCCATTTATGGCGACGTCAGGACTGAAGCGACGGGTTGAAGAGTCGAAGAGCCAACCGAGCTACTTTCGAGGAAAAGGATGTCAGCCGAGGAATATAACCGGGCAAGTTTGCAGACAGTTATGTTAACTAGCCCGGTCGAGCTTTGGCATCTTTAAGACCGGAGAAATGTTATCTCGGTCGAAGTGAGTAATCCCAGTCACGCTTTCGCGGACGGAATTAAGGGGCAATTGAGAGGGTGATTTATGATCTGGAATTGGGCCGAGGCAACGGCCGAGCAAGAAGAGAGCCCAACCGTGCATGAGGTCGAGATGATCGACTATCCGTTCGGAGATGGGCTGCCAGAACTTGGCCCGGGTAGGAATTGGGCCAAGTGTGAGCCGCCCCGGACCGAAAAGAAGCTCGGCAAGGAAGTGCTCGGTTGGACCGAGCTGCTTGATCAGGGGATGGCTGAAGCCAGACAAGCTGAGTGACCGGCGCCGGAAAAGGCGTGGTCAACCGAGGAAATCGTTTGATCGGCAGGAAGGCCGACCACAGGAGGTGCCCGGGCTAGGCTCTGCCGAGATGCCGCCTAGCCCGGTCCTCCCTTGGGTTTATCCAGTGAGGTGCTTGGGTATGAAGCATAGCACGGTCGTGGATAGAGCAGCTCGGCTGCCGAGCTCCTGCTGAGTAGGCAGGCAGTTGAGATTAGGTGATGATCGGCAAGGTTTATGCTGACAGATGGGATAGCGGAGCCACGTGTCAGGAGATGACTGGGAGTGGATATGGGGCGCAGAGGGTATATAAGCATGTTTGTGCCCCCCATACGGGACAGATGAACATTTTGTAAGGAAATTCTTACACTCAAACACTCATCTCTCTCTCTCTCTCTCTATCCAAAGGTGTGTTCTAACTTGATCGTCGGAGGGTTTTTCCGGCCACACACCGCCGGGTAGCTCACCGTTATTTGTTCGCAGGTGATCGGACATAAACGGAGCTCGGAAGAAAGGAGTACGGGCTTGCTGGAATATCTGCTCCCTGTACAGTGAGTTAGATGAAGAAATTTACATGGAACAACCATAAGGTTTTTCTGTTCCAGGAAAAGAAAAGAAAGTGTGTAAATTGGTTAAATCATTATCTGATTTAAATCAATCGCCAAAGCAATGTCATGAGAAATTTGACAAGGCAATGATGTCAAATAGATTTAAAATTAATGAGTGTGACAAATGTGTTTATATTAAAAACACAGACAAAGGTTATGTTATAATATGTCTTTATGTGGATAATATACTCATCATAGGTAGTAATAATGACATGATTAAAACTACCAAGAAAATGTTGAGTAAACATTTTGACATGAAGGACATGGGCATTGTTGATGTAATTCTTAGTATGAAAATTACCAAAACATCAGAAGAATATGCTTTGTCACAATCTCATTACATTGAGAAAATACTTGACAAATTCAGCAAAGATGATGATCATCTTGCTAGAACACTTGTAGATGTTAATTTGTTTCTATCTAAGAATGTACAGGAAAGTATTTCTCAATTAGAGTATGCCCAAATTATTGGAAGCTTAATGTACTTGATAAACTGCACTCGCCCGAATATAGTTTATGCAGCAAGTAAATTAAGTAGATATATGAGTAATCCAGGAGTAGAACACTGGAAAGCAACTATAAGGGTTCTAAGATATCTCTGATTTACTCATAACATTGGGTTTAATTATATTAGATATCCAGCAGTACTTGAAGGATACTGTGATGCAAATTTGCTATCAGATACTAGAGACTCAAAGTCCACAAGTGGGTATGTCTTTACTCCTAGTGGGGCGGCTGTATCTTGAAAATCTTCCAAACAGACTTGCATTGCTAGGTCTACTATAGAATCAGAATTCATAACTTTGCATAAAGCTGGGAAAGAAGCAAAATGGCTTCGTCACTTCCTTGAAGATATTCCAATGTGGCCAAAACTGGTGCCTGCTATATGCATACATTGTGATAGTCAATCAGCAATTGGTAGAGCACAGCGTCATATGTATAACAGTAAGTCACGACACATTCGTCGTCGACATAACACCGTGAGACAACTACTCTCTAATAGAATTATTTCCATTGAATATGTAAAGTCTAAAGACAACATAACGGATCTACTAACCAAAGGGTTAGCAAGAGAGTTAGTTGAGAATTCATCGAGGGGAATGGGACTTAAGCCTATTAAATAAGAGTTACCACAACAGCAACCCAACCTAGTTGACTAGAGATCCCAAGATCTAGGTTCAAAGGGACAATCGAGTTGTGTATGACTCAGGAGGATCACTGGGGAGTCAAACTCCTACCCATTTTTATGATGAAATAATGATGTCTGCAGCGTTTTAGGTTAAGTAATACTTTTAATGATTCTTATATCTAGGTAAATCTAGTGAAGTATGGCAGGATACTCTTCATAAGAATCACCTATGTGAGTGTGAACTGGGCCGGTTCTATGAGATTTATAAAGGGCTACAATTCTCTAGAGCACTCATGAAAGACCAGGTTGTTCAGGGCCGAAATGAACACAATAGTGCGAACTAGACTGTGTTTGGGGATATACTGTGTGAGTTCTATTGTCTTGGTTTACACAAATGGCTAAGCAATTCAAGACATCATGTTCGCTGGTTAGCTAGTAAATCCGATAGTGTCTCACAAGGGAAGGTTCAAAGCCAAAAGCTACCTATCCTTTACAGAATATTTCTAATTTTTGTACTCTCTGTAATTAGATCATGTTGTTGCATTTTTTCTCCGTCAAATTCCATTCATTTGGGGGATTATTGGAAATTTGGTTTTTATAAGACTTATTTTGGGCCAACTTTGAGTCCAAAATTGAGTGGGCCCCAAATGTCTTTTGGGATGGGTGCGAAAAGGTGACGTGTTCCTTGTCGCATGGCAAGTCGCACGGTGAAGACGATTCGTCAAAACCATTTATGAGTGAATGGGAACTTGATGTCGTTTTAGGTTCGTGGAATAGACAATTAAAGAAGTAAATGTGGATTTCCTTGAATTGGGTTGTCTCATATTAAAATTTTAAAAGGGCTTTTGTATGTATATAAGCTCTTAGTGTACTAACTTGGGTTGGGCCCCAAGGGGCACCCCAAGTTTGTAGAAGGGAAGAGTTATGGACAAAGTGAAACTTAGCCCAAACCACCACACATGCGCGTGCCACCGCCACCGTCCGCCCGACCGTGCCGGGCGCGGTTCTGGGTCGGGTTGTGTAACGACCCCACCACGTATAATAATTAGCATTTAATTAATTAAAGAGATTTGAATTTAATTGCCCATTACTTTGATTTAATCCGAGATTTATGAAAATTATGGAGACTGATCCGTATATGATTATATTGAAGATTTATTTGGAATTAGAAATTGAAAACCTAATTGGCTTAAGAGAGTACAAATGGTGAATTAAATTATTTTAATTTGGAGTATCGAACCATATGGGAGTTTAATTAAATATTCGATTTAGATTTATAATTGAGATTTGATTAATTGGGTCCGAATTGGAGTTAATTAAGTTAAGAGGATTGGGAATTAAGATTATTATGAATTAAATTCATTTATGTGATGCTAAATTTGAATATGTAATTTATTGACGAAATTTTGAGTCTGATCAGAAATTAAAGGCATAAATGATTTAAGAAACCAAAATTGAGGATGAAAATACGTTTAATTTAATATTTTGAGCCTTTTGGGAGTTCGATTAAAAATCTGATTCGGAGTGATAAATTTAAATATATTTAATTAGGCTCTAATGGAAGTCAATTAGACTAATTAAGTTATGTGGAATTTATGATTAGTTATGATTGATTTAATTATGTACCAATTAAGATTCATTAAGACTAATTGTTATTTAATTAAGCTAATTTTTAACCATAAACTAAATTATGAGAGAATCTAGAATTATGGGTGTATGTGAGTGTGGGTGTAGTGAGCAATTTTGTGGGTGTAATGACAAGTGTGTGTGCACGTGTCATGTTGTTGGGCAAGAAGTGAGGTGTGCATGAGTGTATAATCTGGTGGGTTCAAACTTGTACTCAGCCATGAGTAGAAAACACAATCTAAGAGAGAAAGAAAAGGAAATGAATGCATTCATGTGCTTGTGCTGGAAAGAACAAAACTGAGAGGTAGAGAGAGAGTGAGAGAGAGAGAGAGAGAGAGACCAACTCTATGTGCTGGAATGGTGAAGGAAAAGCAAGGGGAAGCTTGGGAAAAGTGGAGAGTTGAAGAGAGACTCAAGAAATTGCGAAGAAATTCATCCAATTGAGGGTTTTGGGTAAGAAATTAAAGCTCAAATCTCTTAGATAAATTATCTAGAAGTTGAAATTAAGAGGTAATTAGATTCAATTTCATGCAATGGAAAATAAATTAGCAAGAAAATGAGTTAGGTTCATGATTATGGAAATTAATTGGAAAATTAATTATTTTGGATTTGTTGATGTAGTCTTGAATAAATTAAGCCTCATTGTTGCATGCATGGGCAAACTCTACAAGATTAATACTTCAATTAAACATGCATTGTAGAATCTTCATATCACACTTGAAATTAAGAAAGTTATGAATCAATCTCATGGATTTTGTAAGAAATTGAGTTAGGTTCATGAGCATGGATAATAAATTTAGAAATTAATAATTTGAGTGTGATTTTGTAGTCATGCATGGGATTAAGTTTTATTGTTACATGCATGAGCAAATTTATAAGTTTTAGTACTCTCATCTTGGATTTTGAAGAATTTGAGATAATCAACTCATGTTTTGAAGAGAATGAGAAGAGTTTTGTAAACATTAAAATTCATGGGAATCTAGAATTAATCTTGAAGATAAATGAGGTTTTGATTTTAAATCCCTAACAAATGCATGTAATGTAATTTAAGAGTTTTACTCAAATTAAACATATTTTGGAACATTTATGATTTAAGGAAATAAGTTTGGAAAGTAGTTAGTTTGAATTTGAATTTGGATTTGATATGAGAAAAATTAATAAAAATCTAAATTAGAGCAATTTAAGATCTTAATTATGGATTGAGCTTGACTATGTAGATTTGGTTGGATTTCGATAAATGTTTCATGCATGCAAATGATTTGCTAAGGAGTTTATGACTTTAATTTCATGTTTTGAAGGAAAATAGAAAGAGTTTGAAGTTAATTTTATATAATTAAAAAGAAAATAAGAAGTTGGAGTTATGTTCATGATTATGAAAATTAACTTAGAGATTAATTATTTTGGATTTGATTTTGAATATCTTATAGGAATTTGAGACTTATTTTTATATGCATGTAATTTGGAGAAATTAAGGAATTAATTCATGAACATGGTTAAGGTTAATCAATATAAAAATAATTATAATTCTTCAATTGAGCTTGGGTTTGGAAACCTTGATATATATGAGATGTAAATTTACATGTATCATAGATTTCTTGGATTGATTTCATGCTTTGATGAAATAAGAACTAAGTTTTGGAAAATTATGAATTTATGATCAAATGAGTTCAATTTTTAAATTAAAGGAGTTTTAATGTAAATGATTTAAAATTGGTCATATTTTCTTGATTATTTAAGAATTGTATGTTTTTAGATAGGCCATGTATGAACCCAGATCGTGACACTACAAAAAAATTGGTTTTTTGCGACGGCAAAACGCCGTCGCAAATACTCCAAACGCCGTCTCAAAAAGTTTTTTACGACGGTCAGTGACTTTTTGCGACGGCAAGTGGGGGGTCGCAACAAAGGGGGTTGCAAAAGGGTTTTAGCGACAGCATAATGCCGTCGCCTTTGTTTTGCGACGGCAAAATACCTTTTTTGCGACGGAAAAATTCTATCGCAAATAACATGTAAAAATCTGAGTTTTTTTTTAGATGGCACTGTGTTGCCGTCGCTAAAAATGTCTTTTGCGACGGCAAAAAATACCGTCGCTAAAGGTTTATTTGAGACAGCCCTGAGCTATCGCTAAAGGACTATTGGCGACGGCAATAAAACCGTCGCTAAAGGCATTACATTTCAACCAATTCCCTATCTTTTGCGACAGTAAAGGTGCCGTCGCAAAAAATCCTGATTCAAAATTTTCACTGTGTTGCCGTCGCTAAAAATGTCTTTTGCGACAGTAAAATTGCCGTCACAAAAAAACCTGGTTCAATTTTTTTTTGAAACGGTGTGTGCTGCTGTCTCAAAAAAAAAAAAAAATTGTAATAAAATTATTAAAATTATGAAAATAGCCTGTATTAAATGAAAAATAACTTTAAAAAAATCGATAATTACATAATAATATAAAAAGTCCAGTATATAAATAAAAATTCATCCATAATTAAAAATATGAAAATGATCTTCCATTTTTTTCTTTTTGCTGTCATACATTGTACAAGAAAAACTAACTAAGCAATAATATAAAGCTAACAGAAGAAAGGGCATCACTAACATCATCTCACTAAAGTTTAGTAATAAGAACATATATCTTATTCACATCTTTATGTCTGCCATGGCACAGATGATTTCAAATGAACAGAATGGAAAAACAAGGAAAAATTACAGCTCTCAACACCGCCTTCTCCACAACTTTCACACTATGCACATATTCTTCCTTCAAGTCATCCGGTAGCCAATTACAAACCCTAAAAAATAAGGATTATATTAAAACTAGACTAAAACAAAAAATTTAAAATTAAAATGTGCATCCTTTGAAACCATCATTAGCTAAATTATCAAGACACACCGACAATTTTCCAAGTCACAAAATCATACACCTAAACACCAATCCCGCAACAGGTGACAAACATCAAATGTCTGAAATAAAAGCCACTACATTAATATGGCAATGATATCACAACAATTCAAACTAATTGGCCACTAGTACATGAAATTAAATCCTACAAAACTAACCCAATTAAACATGCTTCCTGGAATACAAGATAACTACATTTGATTACCATCCATGCCGTGATGAACTCAATTAAAAATCCCACAAACCTGATTCAGCTCAACTCAACAAAGTCTGGAATTTCAAATTAAATTCCACTAAAATCATATTTCAACAAATTGGATAGCTTTAATTTCCATGGAACATATTAGCACCACAAAAACCCATTTGAATTTGGGATACAACATTACTACCACTGTACTATATTAACTTTAAACATGAGATAGAACTTAATACCCTTCAACCCTTACTTGGAAAAACTGTAATCACGGTATGATGCAGTTATTGTTGTCTTCAAAATTCCGATTGAACACTCACTAAACTTCCGGACTCTCGCAATGGACAACAATACCTAACTAGCTTCATATGGACTACATAAAAATATAATAGTAATCAGTGCCCATGTTAATTGATTGGCATTGTGAATGTGATAGCTAGGTTTGTAACCCTATTTCTATAGGGGATGATGGGTGAGCACTAATGGATTTTTATTAGCTTTTGTGCTTGTACTCATGAGCTATATATATAGCTTGTTTGGGAAGGAGGGTTGGGTTGGGTTGGGTTGGATTTAAGACTATTTTAGTCACAAAAAGATAAAATAAATTTTTTAACTTAATAAGACAAAACATAACATCCAACTCATAATCATTACATTCTTTCTCTCACAAAAAGTCAAAAAAATCAAAAAGTCCTTCCCAAATAAGATTTTTTAGTCTTAGGTTAAAATAGACAAAAAGTCATAAAGTCAACCCACTTCCCAAACGAAGCCTTAGTAGGCATTACCCGTACCATTATGGTTTTACTTTAGATCTGTTGAATTCATTTGTTAATCATTTTAGTTTATTATGGCCTCTGTTAGAACATGGGGTCAAAAGTGCAGTGAAGCAGTAGTCACTTGAAAGGTAATAAGTAGAGTTTCAAAAAACTTGGACAACTCACTTGCTTCTATGGCTGGAAAAGTATGTACATTGCCAACTTGTATTATAATTAACTAATCAACCACACACAAATTAAAAAAACAAACAACTAATGAGTTCAAATAAACAGAGAAAGGGAAACCAATCCCCGTGCCTAAGGCAGCTCCCAACCACTAGGCTACCCTTTTGTCTCAGTCGATGCCATACCAATAGGTGTAACTTGTCTCATGGCTCAACATCTAGTCTAGTTAGTCATGGGAGAGATGAAAGTCCCTACCAAGAAATCATCACTTCCAATAAATCATCAACAGAATTGGTTTAACTAAAGCAGAAATACAACCAAAAACCGATTAATTTAAAATATCAATTAGATTTGTTGGAGAAATATTAAATAATTACCATACAAATATGCAATGAAAATTAAGGAAAAGAAATAGAAAAAGAAAGAAAAAAGTAAGGACCGACAAAGGGGGACAACTCATATGAGGTGGTCAAAAGCTCCCTCCTCCATGGGCTTGGCTTTGCAGGTTAGTTACCTCACCCGAGAGGCATCACAACCAAGTTTGCCGCCCACCCCCATATGTATCCTTCATTTGCAATCAAAACTGCCTATTCATTCAAAAATTTTGTGAAAGTTACAATTTTTCATTTACCTCAAGCACCACATAGATGACATCACATGATACTCCAAAACTACCTAATAATTTTCTTCATGCATGATTTTTCAAGGGTCCTTGTGAAGCATGGCAAATTCAAATCATTTAGACAATCCTTCTTGATGATGTGTCTAGACTTATTTATATATATGCATAGTTGGTAGTGTATGAATATATTTAAAATTTATTCTATAGAGTAGTCCCATAACCGTGTCTCAAAAAATTCCTTATTTGCAAAACTAAAAAAATAGTATGAGCAACTTAAAACTTTGCTCACTTCAGCTCATTGCAGCCCTATCAATTGGTCAAATTAAAACATTGACTCAATCCAACAATTGAAATTTTTTTACATGAATAAAAAATTATTCTTTCACCAATAAAAAAAATTACTACCTAACCGAGACATTTGATCAATACATATGACATGGTATTAATGAAGTGAAGGAAATCGACTTGAATTTGACTGTCAACAGTCTTTTAATTCACATCCATAGTGCCAGCAAAAATACGTGTATGCAATTTAGTTTAATTATATATAAATGCTACTTCACCAATTAGAATTTAGAATCCTACTTAAAAGGTTAATGAGTGCATATAAATAGTCATTAATTAAACATATGGAGACCTAAGCTATTAAAACACTAAATTTAAAAATAAAATAAAATAAAGTAAAATTGGGTACTTCCCTTTCCACACTAATTAATCAGTTTCTACTACCAAATGTACCATTAGAATCCATAACTTAAACCTGAATTGAATGGATAAAAATCCATTAGTGCTCACCCATCATCC